TGCTGGAGCTGGAGGTTCTTCGGCTGCTGAGGGTGCTGGTGCCGCGGGTCCCGGAGGTGCTCGTACTGGGAGTACTGGAGCTGCTGGGCCTGCGGGTACGACTGGAGCTGGAGCTGCTGCGGGTGTTGGCGCTGAGGCTACTGCTGTCGGTCCTGGAGGTGGTCCTACTGGGGGTGCTACTGGTGCTGCTGGAGGTACTGGAGCTGGAGGTGCTGCTGGCGCTGGTGCTGCCGCTGGGGGTACTGGTGCTGTCCCTGCTGTGTCTGGAGTCGCCGCGCGGCCTCGGCCGTACTTCGTTCCGCTCCTTCAGCAGGTTCTTGGTCTCCCGCCTTCTACTGGTCCTCCTCCTCTCTTAGAGTGTCCACAGCCTGTCCCGTCACGGTTACAGTTACAGCCGGCCTCCCCACTGCCCGCTCCTTCTCCCTACACTGGTCCTACTGGAGGTCTTGCTGAGCGTCGTGAGCCTGCGTCTCGCCCTGCGTCGCCTGTCCGTGCTGCTCGCACTAGTGGTCGTGGTTCGCGTCAGCGTCCTCCTCCTGTCCCTGGCACGCACCGGATGTCTCTGCGTCCGTCCACTGCTCCTCTGCGTGCCCCTTTGCCTTCTCCTCCTGAGTCCTCTCTTCCTGCTCTTCCTGACCCGGAGTCGGAATCTCTTCGTGCTGCCAGTCCTACTGTCACGCGTCTCCTTGCTACTGTTGTAACTGACCCTTCCTTTGAGTCCACTGCTGCGTCTGCCCTAGTTACTGAGCTCGTCGACTTTGCTGCTCGCTGTCGTCTAGACTACGCTGCTAGTCTTGTTGCTGAGTCTGAGTCTGTCTGTCCTCCGTCCGTCGGGGGTGAGTGTGCCGTTGGCACGGACGTCCTTGAGGACAGGCAGGAGGAGTTCCAGTGCTTGGCCGCTGCTTCACCTCATCTCGTGTCCGTACTGCTTACCCCTGAGGGAGACCCGGATGCACTTGACATCCCGACTCCGCGCTCTTACGCGGAGGCGATAGAGGGTCCCTACTCCTCTCAGTGGCAGGCAGCTATGGACGCAGAGATGGCTTCCTGGAAGTCCACAGGCACCTACGTTGACGCTGTTCCCCCTCCTGGGGCGAACATCGTCAGTGGCATGTGGATTTTCAGGGTGAAGCGGCCGCCGGGTTCTCCGCCTGTCTTCAAGGCGCGTTACGTGGCTCGAGGCTTCAGTCAGCGGCAGGGAGTTGACTACTTTCAGACCTTCTCTCCCACCCCGAAGATGACCACTCTTCGGGTACTGCTGCACGTAGCTGCTCACCGTGACTACGAGCTACACTCTCTTGACTTCAGCACTGCTTTCTTGCAGGGCAGCCTGCACGAGGAGATCTGGCTGCGTCGCCCACCTGGTTTCACTGGGTCTTTTCCTCCTGGCACCCAGTGGAGCCTACGGCGGCCAGTCTACGGTCTCCGCCAGGCACCGCGTGAGTGGCACGACACACTGAGGACTACACTTGCGGCTCTTGGGTTTGCTCCCTCTACTGCCGACCCGTCGCTGTTTCTGCGCACCGACACTTCTTTGCCGCCGTTCTACATCCTCGTGTACGTCGACGACTTGGTCTTTGCCACAGCTGACACTGCTGGACTCGCCCACGTGAAGTCCGAGCTGCAGAAGAGACACACGTGCACTGACCTGGGTGAACTGCGCAGCTACCTTGGCTTGCAGATCACTCGGGACAGAGCACGCCGCACCATTACCCTGACTCAGTCACACATGGTGCAGCAGGTCCTTCAGCGCTTCGGCTTCACGTACTCCTCGCCTCAGGCCACTCCTCTGCCTACTCGCCACTCGCTCTCAGCTCTGCCTTCGGATGAGTCCGTAGAGTCGAGTGGCCCGTACCCAGAGCTTGTTGGCTGCCTCATGTACCTGATGACCTGCACACGACCTGACCTTGCATACCCTCTTAGCATTCTCGCACGCTATGTTGCTCCTGGGAGACACAGACCGGAGCACATGGCTGCAGCGAAGAGGGTGTTGCGCTACTTGTGCAGTACGTCGGGCATGGGGCTTGTGCTTGGAGGGCAGAGTCCAGTGGTCCTTACTGGGCACGCAGACGCTTCTTGGGCTGACGACCAGGCTACGCAGCGGTCGTCACAGGGTTACACCTTCAGCCTTGGTTCCGGCTCTGTTTCGTGGCGGGCTACTCGCTCGTCTTCTGTTCTCGGCTCCAGTTGTGAGGCTGAGATCTACGCAGGAGCCATGGCTGCACAGGAGCTTCGCTGGCTCACCTACCTGCTGACTGACCTCGGAGAGCCGCCTCGTTCTCCTCCAGTGCTGTACGTAGACAACAAGGCCATGCTGGCCTTGTGTCGGGAGCAGCGACTGGAGCACAGAACGAAGCACATTGCTCTCCGCTACTTTCTTGCTCGTGAGCTGCAGCAGCGTGGTCAGCTGCGTCTTGCGTACGTGGCCTCTGAGGCCAACACTGCTGATATCTTCACCAAGGCGCTTGCGCCTTGTCACCATCAGCGCTTCTGTACTCAGCTGGGCCTTGTGCCTACCTTGCCTCACTTGCTCACCTCTTGACCGTGCTTGTACTGTTACATATATATATACCTGCTCTTACTTGTCTAGCCTTTTTATATATATGTACTCCTGCATGTGAACTGGCCTTGTGTGCTCGGAATCTGTGGTGACTTTGTGATCCACCCTGAGCTTGCTTTGCTTTGCTTTACTTGACTGGTCTTGTGACCCCTTGTTCTCCCCCACTTTGCCTATGGGGGTGTGTCAGAACAATATAGCTCATGCATATTGTGTAGGCTATAGTGGGGTAGCCCATAAGGGGTACAACCCAATTAGGGTTATTACTTGTACCCAATTCATTCATAGTTCATTCATTCCTTGTTTCTTCTCAGCCAGTTGTCCCATGAGGTGGAGGTGGACGACGATATCCAGGCAGATGGGTTCTGGGGCAACAACTCCACGGAGCCTGAGTCGGACGAGGAGGAGGAGTAGGCCATAGGGTAGACTAGACAGGTTGAAAGATGTGTAGGCTGAAAAGCAGAGACCTCTAGTGTATGTGATTGTCCTAATTAATGGAAAGATTAGAAAATGTAGGATAGGTTGTTTAAAAGAATCAATAAATTTTTTAAATAAAAAGGGTGCGCTTATAATAAGTACTGATTTCTCAGGGGGTGCGCTTATAATTGAGGATCAGCCATAAGCGCATTGCTCCAGATACAAGCGCATGCGCCTTTAATAGGCCTGCGCTTATATCCGGGGCCATACGGTACAGCTTTAAAAAAAAAAATCATGTTTTGAAAGCTACTGTATTCTCCCGGACATAACACCCTAGGGTATAGCTAAAAATACAGGGAAAAAATGGGGGGGGTCTCCTCATAGGAAAAAAATACATAATACCCAGGTCTTTACATATGGTATATTTTAGTGTTAGTATTTATTTGATTAGACAATGTGGGTGTTTTGATTTTCATTTTAACATCACTGTCTGAGGCGCGAATGTGAGTTTCGGCCACGAACTTCATCACCCCTACGAAAATGCCATGTGGCACATCTCTTGCCACTTGCAGCGGAAGATTCGCTTGCATGTGGCGACTCCGAAGTAGTGGGAGGGGGGAAATCTCGGTAGATTGTAAGTGAATGTACCGCGAAATTTCATCTAGGGAGAATTTTTCGCGATATTCTTCCGTATTGCAGTTACTCGTTAACGACTATAATAACGAATTCGTAAGAAAAGGGGGGTGTTATAGAAACTCAGCCAAAAAGGGGGGTATAGTAGAAACGAGGTCTATCATAACACCCACCCCGCACAAGCTACCCGGGGGTGTACAATTACGGGGGGGTGTTTTGTCCGGGAGAATACGGTACTGGAAAGTATCTACTAGGTATCCGAATCGTAGCTTTTTTCCTCGCACATTTTTGGGATGTGCGTGGGGGTGAGAGGTAATTGGGAGGGGGTGGGGAACAGGGCTGTCGATTGGTCTGGGTCCAACCCGTACGAGGCTGAGCTGACCCGAAAACAAACCCTGAAATATTTCACACACACGAAGGGGGTTGGTGTTGCTGGGAGGGGAGGGGGGAGCGCGGTCTAAAAGGGCGTGTAACATTGCACTGAAGAGCTCTGGTCGACGATTCAGTCGGCCAAAAACCTCACCAGTGTTCGTGAAGGGCGACTCATTTACTGTCCACGTTGGGCGACCTGTCATGATATGGCGGACGCTCAGCACCTTGGGAGTGTCTCGGCGAAACCAGGGCTTTTCGCGAAAGACGGGTGAGCGGATTTATTTAAGTCCTCAAAGATCTGACGTACCGTCATCGCCCGGATATAAGACATATATGTCTTATCTCATACACTAAAAAAAATGCTTGGGTTATCTTGTATTTGGGGAGGTTTTGGGTGTCTTATAAGTCTTATAAATGGAAACTTTTTTAAACTACTTAGAAATATTTTCACGCATCTTGAAAAGAGTTTCTCATTAAGAGTGTGGATGGTTCAAAGGTGCCACTTCGGCGACCATTGTTCGGGACGCCACGTCATCCCGAATACTTGCAGAGGCAAATTTGGTAGTACGTGAGTCAGCACGTGGCAGAATTCGCGTGTCGCAAGGGTAAAGATGTACGCGGCATTTCAATTTTCACTATAATACATGCAGTTTCGATTATAAGACACATATGTCTTATCTCGTACACACAAATAGGTGTCGTATAAAAAGGCTAGCCTGTTTATAAGAGACATCCGTATAATAGACAACCCCTGTCTACTATTCAACACTGTCTTATATCCGGGCGATGACGGTAACATCTTCGAAATATGCATAAGTTAACAATTTTAAAAACAACTTGCTTGAGTCCAACTAGTATGTCCTGGTATTCGCAGCATTGTCCCATGCATGGCCATGAGGCACTGCCCTCAACCAGGCCTCAGCCACACCCATCCATGCAGCTGCCAAGGTGGATTCTACTCGGTGGCTTAAGGCTTGCCGGCTCACAACTTCGGTGCATTAACTAAGTAAATTTTGCCAGCTCAGGTTGACACCAGGCGCACGGCAAAGGTCTTGGATCCCACCTCCTCTGTGATGCGCAGGAGGGAGGGAGGGGGGGGATAAGCGAGGACAGGGAGGGGGGTTGGAGAAAAAGAGGGATCGGGAGGATGGGAATGCAGAGTTAAGGGGGCAGCAGGAAACGGAGAGAGGTGGAAAAAGAAGGGGGGTTGGTAAAGTAGCTTTGGTGGGAGAGTGGGAAGACAGTGATGGTCATCAATGGGAGGAGGAACATAAGCAGTGAGGGGAAAGGAGTAAGAGGGGGAGAGGAAGGGAGTGGGGAAGTAAGTGAGGGGCGGAATCAGAGAAAGTGCACAAGAAAGGGATTGAAAGGAAAGAGTGCGAGGGAACAAAAGGAAAGAGTGCGAGGGGCTAAAAGGAAAGACTGCGAGGGAATAACAGGAAACAGTGCGAGGAAATAACAGGAAACAGTACAAGGGAATAAAAGGAAAAGAGCGTGAGGGAATAACAGGAAACAGTGCGAGGTAATACAAGGAAAAGAGTACGAGGGACTAAAAGGAAAGAGTGCGAAGGAGTAAAAGGAAAGAGTGCGAGGGACTAAAAGGAAAGAGTGTGAGGGATTTAAAGGAAGCAGCCATCAACCTTGAGGTGTATCCCACCCTTCTGCACCCTACCTCTACCTCCCTCCAATCACCTCCCCCCTTCACCAATCAAAGCCTGCATGTCTGTCCCAAAGAAGAAGAACGCAACGGACACCAAAACCATCAGCCCCAGCTGTATCCCACCCTTCTGCGCCCTACCTCTACCTCCGTCCCTTTAACTCCCTCTCCTCACCAATCAACGCCTGCTCGCCCACTCCAAAAAGGAAGTCGTATTGACCTGCCACCAGTAGGCAAGGCAATACCACGTGCAACAGACACCGAACACCATCTTCAATCAATCAACCAGCAGACATAGCCTCCCCCCCGCCTTACCAATCAAGGCCTGCACGCCCGGCCCAAAGAAGGATGTGAACTTGGCCTGCCTCTCCGTGAAATCCGCTTTCGAGAGAGCCGGGGCCTCAAATATCAGCACCAGGGAGTACCGTCCGTTGTACACCTGGAAAGGAGGGAGATTTGGAGAATATACAGAAGTGCGGTTTAGAGAAAAATGGGGCCTCACAGATGGGCAAGACAGGGAGTACCGCAGGGGCCAAAGACGGGCAAGGCAAGATGGGCAAAAGAGGGGTTACAGTCATAGGAGAAAGAGTCTTTACCGCATTGATTATCAGCAGCGAACCACAAAAACACACGGGAGTTGCACTCCACAATGCCTTCATATCTCAGCGGTTTAGCTGTAGCGAAAGTGTGGTTGCTTAATTTCTCACCTGCTCGCTGATGGAGGTAAGTGTGGGTGCGTTTCTGCGCTGAATGCCTCCCGACTGCCATGCGAAGGTGGGTTGGGAGAGTCGAGCAGAAGGGGGGGAAGAGGAGGGGGGGGCAGAAGGGGAAAGGAAGGGTGGGCGGGATGCACAAAACGGGTTGAAAAAATGCCTTCCGATTGACACGCGTTAGCCAGATATCAAGAGAGGAGGAAAGGCAGCAGGAAGGGGGGGGGAGAGGGGCAGTACAGGTGTAGGGATCAGGGAGGAAAATCAGTTTTCGTGGACGCCTCTATTTAGGAAGATAGGGAGAGTGTTTGCGGAAATGGTAGTGATGAGTGCGGAGCTAGCACTTGGGAAAGAAAATGCACAAATACTCGGATTCGGAGTAGGGCTAAAGAGAAGCGCTTGTGTCACGTCGCAAAGCAAGGACAGGAGGGCATTTAGCTGGGACGTAAAGTAGCATTCAGATAGATTTTGGAGGAGGATCGGACTCTTCAACCAGGTTGTAGCAGAGTTTTCTCTTGAGGACCTCGTCTTTCAAGGCTGATTCGACTGTCACCAGGTTGCTGCAAACCATTATCTAACCAGGTTGTAGCGGAATATTCTCTTCAGGGCCTCCTCCAGATGCTGCTCGTCTCCATAGCGGAACCGCGTGACGTCACTGCGCACCTGGGAGGCAGACAGGAGGAGGGAGGCGTGGGTGAGAAGATGGAATGAGAGAAATATCTGACTAAGCAACCAGCAGCTTCCTCCAGATGCTTCTCATCTCCGTAGGGGATGGCACTGATGGAACCGCGTTATGTCACTGCACACGGTGTGCAGATGGATGGGTGGAGGGAGGAGATCAAACACTTATCATGACTTGAATAAAAGACTCCTCCAGGCGTGGACCTGAGTGATGGCACGGTGCACCTTGGTTAGGCATGACCGTTAACATTACCTGCTGATCAAGCAGCACACAGTGGTCGTGGCTTGTGTCTTCCTCAGAGGCACACTGGTCAATGACCGACCCACACCCAACCAAGCGGCCCACAGCGTATGCGCCCACATTCAGCGCATCCATCCCTCACTTGCTGAAAGATGGGCGTGGCGTGGCCAGTGTCTCCCTCAGAGAGCCACCCACTCTAGTCACTGACATTCACCACCACGCCTAGCATCTGCTGCTCAAGGGGCCACATTCACCACACGCATCCCTCGCCTGCTGCAGGATGGGCGCGGCCTGTGTCTCCCTCAGAGCCACAGCATCAGCATACGATGTGCATGGCACTGGCTTCGGTTCAATGCTACACGATGAGCCACGCACCCACCCCACATTGGAGGCGCCCACCCCCACCCCACACTCAGCACGCTTCCCCCTCACCTGCTGCAGGATGGGCGTGGCCTGTGCCTCCCTCAGAGCAACAGCGTCGGCATACGATGTGCATGGCACCGGCTTGAGCTCCGCATACTGCACATGGGGAGGGGAGGCATGGATGGAGGCATAAGTTCAACTTTTGAGGCCCCTCAAATGTAGTCACAGCATCCACATGCGATGTGCATGGCACCGGCTTGAGCTCCGCTTACTGCGCATGGGGAGGGGAGGCATGGATGCATGAGAGTTCAATCAGGCTAATGGTGCTTTTGATTCGACTCATAAGCAGCTCCACATACTGCACAAGCCACATGGGGAGGAATGGAGGCATAAGTTCAGTCAGAGTGATGATGCTGAGACGGGGGCGTGTAGCGGGTTCCAGTACAAGACAGTCTATGATGACCAGGGCGCCATGCACAGTGAGCATGGAACCACTGTCAACCCCTTGCATGTACCACGTGCATGTTGAAACAAATGGACGAGGATAGAAGATACATATGTAATGAATCATTGCGAGCCGTTTGAAGCCACGGCCGAATGACGGAGGGCCACTTGGAGCCCTTTGAATGCCCCGCCAATCAACCAGCACGAGTAATATCACAACTGTTGTATATTAGAACATACAATAAATTGAGCTCGTACCTTGAGAGCGAATCCGATGAGCGCAGTGGGGAAGCCGTAGGTGAGCATGAGGGCGGAGGACTCGGAGCCCGGCAGGAACTGGAAGTAGGCGCCAAAGCCGTACGACAGCAGCAGCAGCCCCACCGTCAGGCCGATGGTGCCGAACGACGTCTGGATAGAAGTGACCGAGGGGAGAGGGGGAGAGAGAGGGGGGGGGGAGAGACGGATCACGAGTGAAATGAGCAGGCGCGTTGTGTGTTGGTGGTTGGACAGCCTGGATGAGCAGCAGAACCCCCTGTCAGGCCAACGGTGCCGAAAGGCGTCTGGGGAGAAGGGAGGGGACAATGGAAAATGGAAGAGAAGGGAGAGGAGGAAGAGAGGGGAGGAAGAGAGGGGAGAGCGAAGAGAGAAGGGGGATTTGAGAGAGGGGTGAGAGAAAGCAGGGAAGGGAGCACAACCTCTCCACGCTTTACACGGCCTCATTCGTACCTTACTAGCTTTCAGTCACGCGCTTTACTTCTCCTTCAATCGCGAATCGCTACTCGCCTTCAAACACACAGTTTGGTTCGTCGTCAATCGAGTACCTTGATCCGCATTCAATCGAGCACCCTAGTTCGCCCTCAATAACAGAATCTGATTCGATTGCATAATCAAGGTACGTACCTAGTTCTGCGTAGCTGCGTTTCAGCTGCTGACATGAATCGCCTCAAAGGAGTCTCATGTTTCAGTTTAAATCGCAGAACTAGGTAACCAGTGGAGCATTTGCTGAATGCCCAGCTCGGGTAATTTTGCTAAGGACGGAATCTAATTGGCCCAGTATATATGTAGCTTGACGTTGATAAGCTTTGGCACGCAGTATTGTTCCTGTGTTATGGTCGCGACCTATGGTGGGTCAGTGCACTGTGCCTACCGTGCCGTTGACCTCATTGTCGAGTATGTTGATTGCGTAGCTGGCTTGTTACCCGTGCACTGGTGTCGCTCCGCTTGCTTACAACGCGTATTCGGGCAGAAAGTCGTTGACCTAAATGACTCTGACTTGCTACTGGTCAACCGCAACGCGTATCGTGGTTCCTCTGCTTTCTTATTACGCGTACATTGGTTCGTGTCGCTTACAACGTGCACATTCTTTGATCCTCCTCTCGCTATTTAACGCGTACCTTGGTGATGCTCAGCTCCGAGTCAGGCACCACGACGCTGTTCTTGCTCACGAGCGACGCATCGAACGACGCCGACTGTGGTTCAGCCGTCTCCGCTGCCGCTTGACCGTCAGACGCGGCTCGCACCGTCAGAGTTGACAGCCGGCACCGGCTGACGGCCGTCTGCCGGTTAATCCGCATAGCCGGACGTGCCACTAGGCTCAGACGCGATTTAACATTTTGTTGCGAAGAGACATTCGCGACGGCGAATGCTGGCGAAGCGAGCGACGAGGAGACGACAGTTTGGGCCGCCATTGTGACGGACAAGGAAGCTCAAAGTTACTAAGTAAAAGCCGCACACGTCAAGACCGGAATCTCTGAGCTCTCCTGTCACAAAATAATCACGCTCAAGCTTCAGCTAAAAAAACTGAATGGGATTTGGTGTGAAGACAAGAAGAAATTGCTGCTTGTGAAATGTTCTGCATGCCAGCTGATCATTTCAGGGGGTGTTTGCCAAAAAAACTGCTTGGCAGCAGTGGCTTAGCGCGGACCAGCGCGGACCATCTACGGAACCCCTGTGGATTTGAACCCCAGTACACTCCCATAAGCAGCTGTACACGACCCCGAAAACTGTTTTAACAATCGGCCCACCCGCTTCCGGATTAGCGAAACTCGCACAATGTGAGGTTATATTTTTCGCCCCTTCGCGTTTTCGGGTGGCATGTTACGCCAGCCGACAATTCGCTCAGCCAGCACAATTTTTTGTCACGCAGGTCACTGCAAATGGTCCCCAGTACCACGCGGGAATGAGCTCGGGGAGACGAGAGAGGTGATGCTAATGGAGGGTCTTGGACATGCCGCGTATTGATCTCCTGGGAATTGAGCAAGGTGAATCTGACGGTGGAGCGTATCGAACCCCATCGCAGCGTGGCAGTCTTCTTCTCTGCCATGTGGCATCGACTTCGTGTAGTGAGGGTATCCATCAGCTAGCTATTCAAGGGTTCTAATCCAGTTTCTTTTTATAAACGCATGTGCCAACTAAAATGACACTAAAACGATTTCTTCTAATCCAGAAGAGCTTTCTGATTACTTCTTTTTTGGGGGGGAACTAAATGAGCTGATTACTTTTTTTATTGGGACTAAGCAAGAGCTTTCTCTCAACACCAAAATAGTGTTCACACAGGGAACATTGGTTCGTCCTCAATGCTTCTGCAAGATCCTGTTTTTCAGCTAACTAAGGGCGTGTTCCTACGGCCTCATATGAGGAAACCTCGTATCAAGAATGTACTTTTTGCCTGGTAAAACTAGCGAGAGGTTTTGGGTTTAGGGGAATTTTCTGTGTGAGCCTGATACGAGGTGTAGGAACACGCTGTAAGAGCGTGTTCCTATACCTCGTATCACACACAGCTCGTATCAGCTTTGCAGGGCTGACGATTCAAATATGGGTACCCTGTTTTCAATCCCCCAAAAAAATATTTACCCTGAAGGCACATTTTCCGCAAAACGCCAAGCCTGAGCCTTCTTGCGATGTTCAGGGTTCACGAAATCGTAAGTCTGGGCTGTCAGGGTTGGCGGATTGAATTCAGGGTTGAATTTTTACTTCTTTCTAGTTTGGCGAGAAAAGCAGTGACGTGTTTGACGCGAGAAATCTAGCTGGATTGGCGGATTGGCTGGAGGGAGTGCATGTGGCTTGGGAGGGAGGATCTCCTAGGGGTGCAGGGGCGAGAGCGAGGGGTGTGCAAAGGGGGAAGGAGCAAGTGAGTGGGATGGGTGGGGGTGGGGCTATTTCGTGACCGCGGGTCGTCCGCACAAAAGGGGGAGACGGGGGGCAGGAAATGGGGGAACGGACTGCTCATGGGAGGGGTGTCGAGACTCGACCTGGTTTTGGTGGGGGGGGGTTGTGGGGGGGGGGACGTTTTTCAATGTTAGTGTCTCGTTTAGTTTCACAATTATTCTAATGTACACATGTTTTTCCAAAGTTAGCGAAAAACAGCTGATTACTAAAAACTATCAGTCACATGGCAATATGGTGTTTCACTACGGATGGTTTTCTTTTATCTCCTGCCGAATCACTTTGCGATCCGCCAGATCGTGATTTGTTTTCTCGGTTTAAGTTTACAGATAACCAAAATCAGAAATCAAATGTTTAGTCATTCTAACAGAAACGTAGTGTACTGCGATAACCTGGATAGCGCGAATGGAGTCTCTGAGATGGGAGCAAGCGTAATCATGATTACGCACATGTGGGTTATCGGGACGAAGATTCCTGGAAGCTTCGTCCCGATAACGTTGCATTCAGGGTCAACAAGACGCATACTCTGTATGGACAGGGTCCTTAAGAACACTACTCTGTGAGTGTATACAAAATTCCAGGGTTCGCTAAAGTACTACTCTGACAAGATCAGTGTTCAGAAGACGTTAAACCTGAAATTACAGGGACCAGAATGTGACAAGTCTGAAATCACCCTGAAATCAGGGTAATTACCCTGATAAAATCAGCAGCTTCGTATGGTGAAATACGTTTCAATGCGTTCGGCTGCGGTTGAATACGTTTTAGTGCAGTTCGGCGCCAATCTGATACGAGCCGCAGGAACACACTCTAACTGCACAGAAGGTTAAACACATTTCGTTATTTGTTCTGTTAGAGTAAGGATCTTTTGAATAGAATAGGAATGCCTTAAAGAGTTGGTACCGTAAGCCCCCGGATATAAGCGCAGGCCTCGGATAAGCGCCAGCGCTTATAAAAGGATGAGGGCGCTTATATCCGGTCCTCGATTATAAGCCCACCCCTGAAGGCTTACGGATTATAAGCGCCACCCTGTGTTTGTTTTTGTTATAATTGTACTGAAATCGTTGTAACGAAACTCACGTTTCCATTCCCACATTTTGAATTTCGATACCCTTCACCTCGCTCGGCTCATTGCCTGCGCGTCCAGTCAGAATGAGCTGTCAGCGGCGAAAGTTGATGTCAAACTCATTCCTCGTTTCTTCACATGGTATAGAGCAGGTTCCCTAGTGGGAACGCTTCCTTGGGCCCACCACTGAAACTTTTTTCAAACCAGAGCGCCAGTCGCTCCTCCCCGAGGCGCGCCTTGTGGGCCGCCCTTCTGTCGAGCTCTCTTAGAGGCCCCTCTCACGGCCCCTCGCGCCACCCTTAGCGGCCCCGTCGCCGCCCCTAGCGGCCCCGTCGCCGCTCCCCTCCCTACGCGGCCCCGTCGCCGCCCCTAGCGGCCCCGTCGCCGCCTCTCTCACTACGCGGCCCCGTCGCCGCCCCTAGCGGCCCCGTCGCCGCCCCTACGCGGCCCCGTCGCCGCCCCTAGCGGCCCCGTCGCCGCCCCTACGCGGCCCCGTCGCCGCCCCTAGCGGCCCCGTCGCCGCCTCCCTCCCTACGCGGCCCCGTCGCCGCCTCCCTCCCTACGCGGCCCCGTCGCCGCCCCTACGTGGCCCCGTCGCCGTCCCTAGCGGCCCCGTCGCCGCTCCCCTCCCTACGCGGCCCCGTCGCCGCCCCTACGCGGCCCCGTCGCCGCCCCTAGCGGCCCCGTCGCCGCCCCTAGCGGCCCCGTCGCCGCCTCTCTCCCTACGCGGCCCCGTCGCCGCCCCTACGCGGCCCCGTCGCCGCCCCTAGCGGCCCCGTCGCCGCCCCTACGTGGCCCCGTCGCAGCCCCTACGCGGCCCCGTCGCCGCCCCTACGCGGCCCGTCGCCGCCCCTAGCGGCCCCGTCGCCGCTCCCCTCCCTACGCGGCCCCGTCGCAGCCCCTACGCGGCCCCGTCGCCGCCCCGTCGCCGCCCCTAGCGGCCCCGTCGCCGCTCCCCTCCCTACGCGGCCCCATCGCCGCCCCTACGCGGCCCCGTCGCCGCCCCTAGCGGCCCCGTCGCCGCCCCTACGCGGCCCCGTCGCCGCCCCTAGCGGCCCCGTCGCCTCCTCCCTCCCTACGCGGCCCTGTCGCCGCCCCTACGCGGCCCCGTCGCCGCCCCTAGCGGCCCCGTCGCCGCTCCCCTCCCTACGCGGCCCAGTCGCCGCCCCTAGCGGCCCCGTCGCCGCCCCTACCCGGCCCCGTCGCCGCCCCTAGCGAGCAGCCGAGCCGCCGAGCCGCCCAGCAGCCGAGTCGCCCAGCAGCCGAGCCGCCCCTGGAGCAGCCGCCACTGCAGCAGCCGCCCCTGGAGCAGCCGCCACTGCAGCAGCCGCCCCTGCAGCAGCCGCCCCTGGAGCAGCCACCCCTGCAGCACCCGCCCCTGGAGCACCCGCCCCTGCAGCAGCCGCCCCTGGGGCAGCCGCCCCTGGAGCAGCCGCCCCTACAACTGCCGCCCCTGGAGCAGCCACCCCTGCAGCTGCCGCGGAGCTCTCGC